GTGATCTTTCCTATACTTCATAGCATTACTCTATTTCCAACTATCTCTACAACAATATCAATCACAAAAATAATCATGTTATCAACTCATAGCAACAACCATTCCTCATCATGCACAATTTTTTTACCAAGTTAGCCTTTTCAAGACTACATGTAATGTTTTCAAACACTAATTCTCAATGTTTATAATTTTCACAAGTCCATAGTGCACAAAAAATTGTCATCTCACAATCATATAACATCATATATCCAAAAATAGTTTCCTAAAGGTGTATCGAGTATGATGTCACTCTTTGGAAGAGTTACTCCACCGTAGCATATATTCATACTACATGTGCTTAGTGACCGAGTAATGAGGTAAGAGAATGGATCCCTATTTCCTCACTATATGAGTCTTACATGTCATTATTGATATGACTTTCACTTATGTACCCTTTTGTGACATTTGACTATGTCATAAGGTAAGGGGTTGATGTTTTGCTACTTTGGTATGTTGCCTACGGTCATGTATGATTCGGCCTTGAAGGACATCACTGGGAAAGTAGTCAATCCTAAACTAAATGGCATGAGGGCGAAGGGAAGATCATATAGTATTACACCACTATTGTATATTCACTACTGGCAACTCACATCGCTTTGTATGAGAAGCGGATTGAGTGTCAATATATTGCAAGAATTGAGAGGGTCAAACATGCTCTTTTGAGAGATTAGAGATGTTTTTTGGACCGCTGTAATTAGACGAGTCTGGGGTATATGAGTCACTATTTTTTATTTTCAGGTTGATGTCTCTATACTAGCTCTTTTTTGAGTTTCTAATGTAGAGCTCCCACATGCAGGTGTTCTCAGTGGTTGCACGGTCTATTGGCTAGTATGATTGCGTTTATTGGGTAGGTTGAGATACAAAAGGCGCAGTGTCATGCCAGCACATCTTTGAGTGGGGGATATTGGAAATTGGGTCGGGTTTAGAACCTAGACCCAATTGGGTCGCCCATAGTGGCATGACCTGATTAAAAGAGATCCAAATGAAATAATAGATTATATTTCAAGATATGAGATAATCTTGATATGGATAATTGTTAAAATATTGGATGATAATTATTAATTAGATATTGTTGATATGGGATAGACATTATCTGGGATAATACATCTATCCTATGGGTCTCCTAACTATCCTATATAAACAGAACTTGGGTTCTGTATTTAAAAACAAAAATTATACGTTCTCTCTTCCCATAAACCATTCCGCCTTTGTATTGTGAATAGTGTGGGTAGTTCTTTAGTACACGTGATTCACCCACATGATCTATGGATTTGGTTTGAGCGTGAAAGGTATACCCGAATCCATTTATTTCCGTTGTGTATATAGTATTATATTTCCTACATCTTCAAATTCAAATTGTAATTCATCAAAAGAATAAGATTCATTGTTATAATCACATACCTCATCATCATCTCCAAATGCCATTAGGCTTTGGTTAGCAACTCCATTCTTGCTGTCATCGCTTTCTGAATCACTTTCATCGCTATCTCCTTATGCTGCTTTAATTTTTTTTTCACTTCCATTCATCATTACAAGTTCATGGATCATGAGAGACCCCAAAAGCTCTTCCATGCTCAATCTTGTTAAATCTTTTGCTTCTTGAAAAGCAGTCACTTTTGATTCCAAATTTTTAGCAAAGATTGGAGAAGTTTTCTCATCAACTCAACATTAGTATAAGATTTACCAAGAGATTTTAGAACATTCATAACGTTAGTAAATCTAGAAAACAATTCAAAAATAAATTCATGGGATTCCATCTTAAAAAGCTCATAATCATGAATCAACATACTAATTTTAGATTCTTGAATATGGTTGGTCCCTTCATGTATGGTCTCTAATTTATCCCAAATTTCCTCAACCAATTCACATGTACAAATTTTATTAAACTCATTAGAGTCTAAGGCACAAAATAAAATATTCATAGCCTTGTCATTCATTTGAATGCTTCTCAAATCATTATTGTCCCATTCATGCTCTTCCTTGGTCAAGATTCGCTCTTGGATGGTCTTGGAAAGTATTTTGTGATCATTAACTATAATTCGCCATAGCTCATAGTTTAAAGCTTGATTGAAAATTTTCATTCTTGCTTTCTAGTAAGTATAATTTGAGCCATCAAATAATGGTGGTCTAAAGGGCAATTGACCTTTAGCAAAATAAACATCAAAATTGGTTGACATGATTTATTCTTAGACGGTTAAGTCAAAAAATAAATAAGAGCCCTTACTCTGATACCAATTGTTATCCCAAGTAGGCAACCAAAGATGGGGTGAATTGGGTTACTAAAAATAATTTCACAATATTAAAAATAATAATCAGAATATTCGAATTTCAACAAATAAAATAATAGAGCAATAATAATTAATATAAAAGCAAAAGAGATAGGGAAATAGAAAGAAAATCAAACACAGTGATTTATAGTGGTTCCGCACGCCAGGCCTACGTCCACTCCCTCCTCGAAAATTTCTCCACTATTCTTCAAATAGTAATTACATCACCAGTTTCAATGGTGCTAGTGAACCTTTACAACAAGTGACGAATCCTGATCACTTTAACTAGTTTAGAAACTGATGCCTAGTCGCACCTCACCAAGTAATTTTACTTCGAAAATCACTCACAGAAATATCCCAACTAGTTTTGAATCTAGTACCTAGTCACACCTAACACAAGTGATTTTATCTCAAAAAATCACTCACAAAAACTCTCTTTTTACAAGAATAATATGAATAAGGGATAGAAAACCTTTTTACAATTTTGCTCAAACTCTCAATATATGTTCTCACAGAAAATATAACTCAATGAAGCACAATATAATATTTGAAAATATTTTAATATCACATATTTTTCTCTTCTTCACTTCTTTACTATTTATTTTTCTCCAACCAAAATACTCCTTATATATCATAATCCATTGGGCGGAGAGAAGAGACACTCATATCCATTGGAAGAGAGACACTCCTCATGTTGAATTCGATGCCTCTGACACATAGAGCAACGGGCTAATTTTCCTTTTCAAATTTTGCAGGCGAAGGATGGAAAAATATAGCCAAAGGTCGCTTTCGATAAATAGTTAAGAGTAAATATTCAAATTTCTCACAGAAAAATCAAATGGTACACACTAACTGCATAATAACTTTTCTATTAAAATATTTGACCACACAATAACTTTTTTGTTAAAATATTTGTATGCATAGTAAAAAAAATTTAAATAATATTTATATCATATCTAAAAACATATACTCATTTTAAAATTTTTGTAGAGATTTTAAATACACTTTAGTAAAAAATAATCTGCCACCCATGTGAGTATATCAATTTTGTCAAAAGAAGATAACCAATCAATATCAAATTTGTCAAAAAAATGAATAGTGGCCAATTAGATTTTTCAACACGTGAATAGTAAATTTTCTAAAATATTTTCGTAAAATCAGATATAGCGTGGTAACTTCTATTTAAAAAATATTATAACAAATATATCATACAACATATATTTTAAACAGATAATATTTTGTGTCAAACAATATAAAATATGTATATTTAAAAATCACAAATTATCCCATCATATTTTAGACATCATCAAAGTTAAACCACTTGATTAACACATTTTTAATTGTAGGATTAAAAAATTTATCAATTTTGTTGGATAGAATGTCTATTGGAATCTAATCCGGATAACAAAAATTGCAATCAAGTAAGGGAATGTGAGTTTCATGGATTAATAATCACAATCTTATACTATAATCCGCTCAATCAAACAAGCCCGCAAAGTATAACCAAAGAGCTTTTAGGGCATAATCAAAATAATATCATACCTAATATCACAATCACTCATTACACAACAATAGCTCATAACCAAAAATCACAAAGGTCATAACTAAGGGTGCATATGGTACAATAACTTCCAAGTCTTTTTTTTTTTTTTTTTTGGGAAAAATTACAAATCGGTACTAGTTTGAGAAAATAATTACTAATTCATAAAAAAAATTAAAATTTTAATTATTAATATTTATAAAGTTTACCACTATTTTGTGATTTTTTTTAACAAATCCCACTGATATTTTTCCCTTTGTTTTTTGACAAACACAAAACATGTGGAGAGATGGCTTCAATTTTGCAAACTTGTTTGTGTATATATATATATATTCCCATTATATTATTGTTAATAAATTATAGATACTAATTAATACTTTTTTTAATTTATTTAAATAGCCTATTACTTTTTCATGCATCATCATTCATTTCACTTCTTATAAAAAAATTGTCTTCTCGTAGGCCTCATTTAAGATTATTTTTGTAATGACTTTTTGATTTTTTAAATAGTTAAATCTAATACGTTCGAGATTTCGTGTTAAAGTGGTTCTTAAGATTGTATTGGTGTTTGTTGGTTTTGGGTTGAGTCAAGAATATATTATGAGGAATAGCTTGTCTCCAGTTAAAATTTTAACTGGATCAAACAATTAAGATCTCTTACCGATAAGAGTTAATAAATAGAAGTCTCTTACCGGTTAGAATTAATGAAAAGATTTAACTAGATCAAGCGTTTCATAGATTTTGACCAGTATGAGATCTCCGTTCATTAACTCTTACCGATAAAAGAGCTCAACTATCTAATTCAGTTGAATTTTCAACGGGATACAAGCCATTTCCTATCCTATATATTGTATTTGTGATTTGTTTAGATGCTATAAAGGTTAAAGGCGATCCTAGGGAAAACATGTTGGTGCTATGAAGGTCTTGAGGGAACTTCGGGAAAACTCCTTTGGTATATAGTGGACAACTCCTTTGGTATTACATTACTCGCAATGTGTTATATATGTTTTGACTTCATACTATTCACCCAAAAAAGTTTTGACTTTATATAATTGATGAATAGTTCATTTAGTGATCAGTTTTTATAATTATTTAATTAGTATATAGTATATGTTTTAATAATTGGTCACATAATTGATTAACATTGAATTAAAGATTGATGAAATCGGTTTTGGTTAAATAGCCTCAAGAACAACAACTTTCTTTGTAAAGAACATTGAAGTTAAATCAACCAACTGTAAAAGGGAACAACATTTCCCTAACCAATACAAATATAAAGAGAATTGGAATTACATAATTGAAAACCAAAAGTAATAGAATTTTCCTATTGACTTCCCCTCTAGAACAATTTCATATATATATATATATATATATATCCACACAAGCACCATTTCTTTTATTCAGTTGTTGATATTGTTCTTCATTACTTCTCAATGATACACTTGGTCAACTTCTGCATAATAAGATTCACTCCATGTCCTGGTCGGATAATATTCTCCATCACCGGGGAGTGAATATAATTTGGATCAAGGGAAAAAGAAAATTTAGACAAAATGATAGCCAAGACGACCTTTATCTCCAGCATCGCAAATAATTGTCCAGCACAAATATGGGGACCATTACCAAAAGGAATATATGCTTGAGGAATTTTTCAAGCACTTCCTATCCCATTAGCGAACCTCTCTGGATTAAATTTGCTTGGATCAGGGCCCCAAAGTTTAGGGTCATGGTGAAGTGGCATCACAGCAACCCAAACACCAACACCTTTTGGGATTTCAAGGTCTCCAAACTTCATATCTTCTAAGGTTTCTCTTGCTATAAAGGGTCCTGGAGGGTAGAGTCTTAATGCTTCCTGAATCACTGATGTCAACTGCAATTCAAATTAAAAGAAAATACAATTAGTTTTCACAGACCTTGCTAGTGAAGAGATGGTGCATGGTAAAAAAAGTCATCCACAAATTTCTAATTAAAAAACTTGAATCTGAATAATTTAGCGAGGTAATGAGCTTACTTACCACTTTCATTTTGCTAAGCATTGTGGCATTTGGCAAACTTTCCCCACAAATTTCAGAAACCTCTGCACGGACACGATTTTGCCATTCTGGATGCGTTGCAAGCAACATCAAGGTCCAGGCTGCAGTGTTTGCTGTGCTTTCAAGCCCTGCTAGGTAAACATTCTTACAGTTGTCCACTATGAGTTGTTCTACTGCAGCTGGCCCCGGGGCACTCATCTTAGCTCCATTGACAATCGTTTGTAGCACGTCTACCTTAGATGAATGCTCGCTCACAATACCCATGATCCGTGAATGTATCTCTTTTTTTAATCTCCATTTGTCTATGTTGCTCTTGGTTGGAACGTACCTAAATAACAACCATTTTTCAAAATAATTAAAGGAAATCAAACCCTTAAAAACACCGAAAGAATGCCTAGTAATCATTCAACAAGTTTTTTAGTGCACGCTTGTTTGCTTATGCGAGGCAGGGATGGAAGTTAAGTCATAAACACAAATACTTACCACAAACAATCCCGCCAACTAAGATTGGAGTTTTCATGGCCCTTTCAAGACGCTTGAACCTTGACTGCAATTCATTAATCACTTTGGAATTGCTATGCCCAAACAAAGTTTCCGAGATGACAATAGAAGCAAAGCTCTGCAAATCCTCATCAATCTTTATATTTGCTGTCCCACTTTGTTTTTCTATTTCAGTCTCCCATGTGTTGATTAGTTTGTTTGCAGAGTCTAACATTATGTGCACCAAATTCTGCACCATATTTTTCCCATTTGATCAATTTTTTTGAAGATTAGTTTCATAGCAATTCAAATTGTAATAGCTATATATGGTGAGTATTGTATTTGTATTTGTACCTTGACTTTATCAGCATAGAACTCAGGAGCAATAGTTTTTCTTTGGTGAGCCCAGAACTCCCCATCCGAGGTAAGTATGCCCTTACCAAGTAAGGTTTCTGAATTCTTTTGTAGGAAAAAAGGCTTTCCCAACTTCAATGATGTGGAGAGGCTTATTTCCTTGGCCAAATGTGGATCAGTAATATACATCACTTGATATGTTCCCAAGGCAAAGTGGTATCTTTGACCTGTCAAAATCCACTCCAAATCAACATTTGTAAATGGAAATTATATGAGCAAGAGGAGCAGTTAATGAGTTTTAGCAATTCATTAATACATACCATACTGTTTACTCCAATGCTCGAATAATGGGAAGGTGAATTTAGCCCAATCATGCACGGCTTCACCATCTTCAGTAAGAGCTTTGATGTCTTTGGGTTGGAATTTGATGAAATCAGGAATGTTGCCAAGAAGGAATGAAGGTGAAGGACCTCTCAGACCTTGGCTACAAAGCTTTGATCGAAGCCTCTGAGGCCTCACCCAGAATCTATTGAAGAGATAGAGGATGAAACTGATAAAGAAGAGCACTGCTACCGAAAAAGCAGACTTGAAGAGCAATTCCATGTCTTCAAACTTAATCTCAGTGTTTGTTTCTCTTTTTCCTATAGACCCTTTTGCTTTTTGCTCTGTGTTTGTTTATTTTTTTACTTCTCTAGTTTCGCATATTTATAGTTTAATGGTTGAGAAATTGTACTAATGTCGTTGAATAAAGAAGTCCACCACACCAGATGCCATTTTTTAACCAAAAGCCGCCATTTTGACTGTTTCAAGATGAACGCCCTGATTTATCATGTACAAAAATTATAGTTTTATGATACCAACATTTTTTTGAAATAAATTAAAAAATATATGTATCAAAAAATATGAAAAAGCGATAAAAAGGAAAAAAAAAAAAACAGTCATGCTAGGTATCATGAAAAACCTTTCATGAAGATAATCATGAAAGGTTTGTGACCTTTGGATTACACTTAGAATAAAGCACCACACACTAATCAAGGTAATCCAATGATCATAATTATTTCATGATCATTTTCATAAAAAAAATTTCATGATCCCTAACTTTTCTCAAAAAAAAAATGCTTACTTTGTGGGTGAAGACGTCCAATTGGTTCACATGGAGGAGAACCAAACCTCCATAATTTCACAGAAGTTAATACGTTAATTATGTTCACCGTATTTCATTAATTAACAAAAGTTGTTTATATACAATAAACTTGTAACTGACACAATCTACAACTCTAAAACATAGGAACTCACTCCATCTAGTAATTATCCTGTCATTTAAGAATTTCATACTAATTGTGTGCCTAACCATGAACTTAAAAATAAGAAAATAATAAAGGAATGACAATACACTATTGGATGGGCACACAGTCACGTAAATAATCATATATATATATATATATAAGTAGTGTTTTTCTTTTTTCTTAGGTGGCACATTATAAGAGTTTACTTTTTCTTAAAAAACGACCTCAACATACATTTTCTATTTATATATAGAGTTCTACACAAATCCAAACACAATTTAAGTTATTGTAACTTTGCCCATTTTATATAGACTCTATTTGAAAAATATTCATTTTCCATACAATTCACAAATTCAATACCAATTTTATATGGATTAGATTTGACAAATATTTCTTTCACAAATGGAATTTGAGTTTTATATGAAATCTAATTACAAATTCTATATAGATTATACTTTGATTGTACAAAATCTTTCATACGTTATTTTATATAATCACAACTCACAAGAGAAAAAACATATATAACAATGATACTCTCGAAGAACCTCTGAAGTTTAGATTCACTACTTGAGTTACTTTTTCAATTGCTAAATAGTAAGTTCTTCTATATTTTCACATCATATTACAGTTGATTAATCACTTCATACACTGAGATATATCTATTGTTTGAATGTTTTCATTTATTTTTTCTCTTTGCGTTTAAATGTTGCTATGAGATTCTTTCTTAGTTAGTTGTTTAATTTATTTTATATAATTGATATTTTAATTTAATTAAGAGTGTTTATTTTATAATCTTATAAAATCATTATATGATAATCTAACTATAACATATTTATATTTAATTTTTTCAATAAATTTTATATAGTTTATATTTCTACATATTTTTATTTTCCAAATGAATATAAAGAAAAATTAAATAGTTAGTAGAATTTCTTTTAATTTTATATTACTAATTCTTCTTATAATTTAACCATTATTTTTAATATTAAAATGAGTATTTATTAAATATATTCGACTAACATTTGTATAAAACGATAGTGTCAATATTATCAAAACAAATAACTAAAATGATACTTTAATTTCAATTTTAAATTAAAATTAAAATTAAAATTGTTTTTTTATAATACACATATTGTACTATCAAATATTTTTTGAAAAAAAATAATATGTGCATTGTACAAGTCAACTGCTAGTTACAATTTACAGAGTCTTCCTGGTTCGTATAATAATTTCTGTTTTCATGACTAACACTAAGTAATTACAATTTACAAATATTAAATAAATAAATAAATATTACATATTTATTTATAAAGTTCCGTACGTAACATTTTACCCCATTCAATTATCCATATTTGTAGTTTTAGCCCCTATTAAATTATGCATGACAATAGCCGGCCAAGCAGACCGATATAATATTGCCCATACCTTTTGACTAAGCTGGATCCATTCGACCTCAACCAGCACAAACTTTCAACGTATTTTAGTTTGAAAGCTATAATGAATTTTAATCATATTCTAATAGAGTTTTATTCATTAGAAAGAAAGGGGTTAATTATTGTTATAGCTATTTTAGTTTAACCAAAATAATTCCTTTGGTATTCATTTTCAATAGTCACAATCAATTTTTTAAGCTTTTAAGTTTCAGTGCCATCCTTCTATCCATGGTTTTGAAAATCGGATCAGACTGGCCGATTCGACCGGTTGAACCGTCGACCGGTCGGGATTTCAATCCGAATTTACCCTCTAAACCGTTCGAAACTAAAAACCGACATATCTAGAGAGAACCGGGAAAACTGACGGTTGAACCGGAGCTGGTTCGTTGAGCCGATAAAATTGAAATTTTTTTTTGTTTTTTGATTTCTTCAAACTTTTTTTTTATTCTTTCTTTCTTATTATATAACTTTCATGAAGATAATCATGAAAGGTTTGTGACCTTTGGATTACACTTAGAATAAAGCACCACACACTAATCAAGGTAATCCAATGATCATAATTATTTCATGATCATTTTCATAAAAAAAATTTCATGATCCCTAACTTTTCTCAAAAAAAAAATGCTTACTTTGTGGGTGAAGACGTCCAATTGGTTCACATGGAGGAGAACCAAACCTCCATAATTTCACAGAAGTTAATACGTTAATTATGTTCACCGTATTTCATTAATTAACAAAAGTTGTTTATATACAATAAGCTTGTAAGTGACACAATCTACAACTCTAAAACATAGGAACTCACTCCATCTATTTCCATTTCCTCTTCCAAAATTAAAATTAATAATATTTTAAAATATATAATTATATTTTTCAATAAAAAAAAATATTATGAGAAATATTTAAGATAATTTAATATTTTTTAATTTATAATTTTATTACTTATATTTTTATTTAAATATAATTTTAATATATTTATTAAGTCACGGTTCGGTTCTAATGCAACCCAACGATTGAACCGATGACTTATTCACCCGATCCTTTTTCCAATTCGCTCACGAATCTAATTTTTAAAATATTGGTTCTGTCTATATAAATTAACTAACATAAATGGACAATGCTATGCACTTAACATTTTCTTAGGATGGACATCTTTCCGTCTTATTAAATTCCGTCTTATTAAAGTCATCTTTAAAATAATAAAAAAATTTATTTATACACCATCAATCCTCTCAACAGAGTCCAGCTTGTCTCATGTTTAAGATCAAGATTGGAACGTTCAATCTGGCCCATAAGCCCATTTTTGGGCCCCGTTTTTGATAATCCGAACTGTTCAATGTGTAGAGCTCGTCAAGTACTATATCTCTATAAAACATCTCATTGATCGGATATCGATAGTTATTTGATCGAATCATATTTGTATAAAAAAAAAATGGATGGTGCAAAAATAGACAATTGACAAAAATTTTATCCGATCAAATAGTTATAGATATCCGATTAACGTAATTTTTTACAGAGATATAGTACTCGACGAGTTCTACATATTAAACGGTTCAGATTATCGAAAAGAGACCCAAAAATGAGTCCATGGACCAGACTAGACGGTCTAGTCTTGATCTCAACATGAGACAAGCTGGACCTCTCTCAATACATACCATCTCCTTAAATTTTTTCATTACATCTTTATCATTCTAGTCAATTACATTTTTAACCTTCACACAAATTTCTCAATCAACACCACACGACCCCACCAGTCCTAACCCTAAGCGCCGCCACCGCCACTGCTCGCCCTTTGTTGTCACATTCTCCTCTTCCTCATCCTCCCTCTCCTCATTCATTTATCTCTTACTCATCTCCAACTGCATCTTTCTCTCTATTTCTTTCTCCGTTGATCTTTCTTTCGCTCTCATTGGAAGTGTGATTGCAGAGATCTAAAAACCCTAGGACTCTCTCTCTCTCTCTCTCTCTCTCTCTCTCTCTCTGTGCAATGGATAAGGGCTTGCATTGGAAGGGGTACGAAAATGGATCGTGATGGCAGGATTGGGTATCAAGGTTGGTTGTGACAACAAGGGTCGCGAAGATGTGGTTGGAAAAAGGCAACAGCGGTTGCTAGTAATGGCAGGTGGCGATAGTTATTGGTGATAACGGAGTTTGAAGAAAAGAATGATGGATTGATAATAGAAATGGAGGGAAAGAAAAGATGACTGGGGAAGGAATGGTGTTAGTCGGAGGGTGACAGTGGCAGAAGAAGATAGGAGGGGCCAACGATAGCGGTTGATAGCGACGGGGGCGATGATGAGGTGAAGTTAAGGTTAGGGTTAGGATTAGAGTTAGGGTTGTGATTAGAGAAGATAGGGATATTTTGAGAATATTTAGAAATTGATGGAGTGAATTGAGTGGAAAATTAAAAAATTAAAATTAGGTGTGGTATGCAATGAGTAATTAGTATATACTGAGAGAGTTTGTAGTGTGTAAATAGAATTGCCCTAAAATAATATTGTCAAATTCCAACATTTTAAATACAATAGCATTACTACTTTTTCTTGGGCAAATGGGTGTCAATATATGAAAAAGTGCTTCAAATTATAAACGTAGTGATACCATTTAAATTTGGAAAATTTATTCATAAATCCTAAATGAGGAAATGCTGATCCATTTAATCTTAAAAATTTTCTTATGAACCAATTAGTCCCTAAAGTATCAAACAGTTCATAAGATAATTATTTATGATTTATTGGTGCTTCATCCTTTCAAATTTTGGGTTTATCACACTTTAACTCTTAAATTATTGTCAAATTGTAAATTTAATCCCTAAACTATCGATTGGGTCTACTTAATCCCTAAAGTATATGAATCAAAATCTATTTAGTCTCTAAACTATCGATTGAATCTATTAAATACCTAAAGTATTTAATTTAAACATACTTAGTCCCTTAAAAGATTACCAAAATAAAATATAAGTCCATAAGTATCAAAAATTAGTAAAGATCCTATCTAGGTAAATTTTATTTCAAAAATATCTTAAATTTTTATTTTATCTTTGAAAAGTGGACGTTAGTTCTTATAGTATCTAGTATTATATGTCAGATTTCATTTATAATTTCTAATTGATTGTTTTTAGAGTTTTGAGTGAAATCCCAAATACTGATCTTATAAATTGTTTGGTTCTCCTTTTTTTCTTATGCACCCAAAAGTCTCATTCTAGTGTGAATTACATAAAGGGCAAAGTATAAACGCGCGCATATTATATGTTGAGGGACAAATGTAGATTTTCTCATAATGTTAAAATTACTAAACACAACACTTCAAAAAAAAAACTCCTTAATGTATTTTTCTCAAATGTAATACTCTAATGTAACACTCTAAAAACGTAATACTCTAATGTAACACACTAAAAAATTTCTTAGTGTACTTTTCTCAAACATAACAATGTAAAATTCCAAAAAAACTCTTTAGTGTATTTTTTTCCAAACGTAACACTCCAATCAATATAACATAAACAATTCCTTAGTGTGTGTGTGTGTGTGTGTTTTTTTTTTTTTTTCCAAACGTAACACTCAAATGTAACATACTAAAAAATTTCTTTGTATATTTTTCTCAAACCTAACAATGTAACATTCTAAAAAATCCTTAGTGTATTTTTCTCAAGCGTGATACTCCAATCAATGTAACATACAAAAACTCCTTAGTATACTTTTTCAAATATAATATTCTAATATAACACTCCAATATAATACCAGAAAACCACACTAATAGAAATATAGATTTTCACACTCGACAACCAACACTTCAGCCATCAATCTTCCCAAAAAGAAACTTACATGCCTTATATTTTCATGCCCATCCCAAAAACAAATTAGAAAATTAGAAAAATGAATCATAAAAGAGCATTGACTTAAACTCAAATGACACCAAATCAAATAAATACAACTTTCCAAAATAAAAAGTGGCTAATTAGTTCATAAAAACTCTTAAAACTAAATAGATTAACATTCCCCATATGGCATTTATGGGTAAATTTTTCTTAAGTTTTTCACTAAATTATTTTCATAAATTAATTAATGTTTTATTTTGTTTTATTATTATTTGTAGCCAAGTATTATTATAAATAATTTAATTAAATTTCTTCAATATATCTAATATTCTTATAACTAGGAAACCAGACTCTAATTATAATTTAAACACACAACGAAATAAAACACTTTTAAAGACAAAATAAAAATTTAATATCATTTTGTAATAAAATATTAATTAGGTAGTCTTTTAGTAATTTATAATACTTACAAACTTTTATTTTATTTTTGTAATCCTTTCAGGGCTAATATGTTTGAATTAAAAAGTTTAGGAGCTTAATAGATTCAATCGATAGTTTAAGGACTAAATAAATTTTGATTATATACTTTAGAGATTGAGTAGACTCAATTGATAGTTTAAGAACTAAGTAGACAATTTAACAATAATTTGAAAATAAAAAGTGTAATAAACCCATTGCAATTGTCACGACCCAAACCTACTCTTAAAAGTTAAGTCATGGCCGGCCTGTACTTAGGTCTCAAAGTAACATTCCAACAAAATATTTTTATTCAATAACATGGCCTGAGGCGGAAGCCAATCAATAACCGAACATCCATTGAACACTGCTTAAATGCCAGGATCTTAGTACATCTTACCATATATAGAAAATTTACAAACACCGTTCATATACCAACAAGTCCATGTTATGTAAGTCTATACAAAAAGGTAGCAACCCAAAATTTACATGTTGACAATGTATATGTAACAAGTCATTAACGACTTAAAAACATACAACATAAATAGGAACCCCACAAAAACAAAAGGCTCCACTTTGGGAGGCTTGACAAAACAGGTCCAACAAAAGGCTCCTGGAGCTGACCTAAGGTTGTCCTCCGAGCTGATCACCTACATAAATATACATATATACAGAGTGAGCAAGGCTCAGTGAAAAATCGCAAAGTAAGGAGGTTTATGTGAATGAGCATAAGTCTTGGAGATTATATAGATTTCATAATTTCAGTCCAAAATGGCCTTGGGCCCAAATAAGACGGAACGGCCTTGGGCCCAACATAATACGGAACGACCTTGGGCCTAGCTTAATACAGAGTGGCCTTAGGACCTACATAATATGCAACGGCCTTGGGCCCAATATATCAATAGCTGTTTGAAACATTATAGGATACATGGAATATCAGCATGTCTCCATCTCCCTCGGCCTTAAGCCATGAATCTTAAGTAATCCATAGCTTTATAGGGTAGATCGAACATCGGCATGTCTCCATCTCCCTTGGCCTTAAGGCCATGAGTCATAAATAGCCCACATCATAACGGCCTCGGCCTCATCGTTCATAAAAAAACAAAACGACCTCAAGTCCATTTCATATGCCATTATTCAATCATTTCGATTATTGTAATCGAAACACAACTAATATACCATATGCCATTCACAAGTAAGAATATATAAATCATAAACACCATACGTAAATAAGACATATCGTTACACTACTATTACTCACTGTGATGTGGTTGAACAACGGTCCCTTCCAGTACGTGACCTACACACAACACACAACTGGTAAGTAAGTCACTTTGCCTTAGCTTTTCTCTTTACTCATTTGTCCGATTCGTTGAATTCTTATTCATTTTTAAGTATTTTAGAAGGATCAAATATACACATTAATAAATTCAAAGGGTCAAAAAGAGTGAAAGAAGTTGACAGAAAATTTCCCTACTATCCTCACATGCAGAAGTCCCCCACCGCACGTGCAAAGAGGTGTGCCGCACGAGCGGCTCCGCACGTGCTTTTATTTCAGAATGCTCCATTTGCGTCTGCTATTTTCCGCACATGCGGCTGTGAGCCCCGCACGTGTGGTTGTGCATCCCGTACGTGCGGCCATGAGCCCCGCACGTGTAGTTCTGGGCTCTATTTGACCAGTCCAAACATTCATCAAAATCAAACATTCCAAATGCCTTTCTATGGTCTAACATAAGCAAATGCACTTAAACATCATGACATATGAATATAATAAACATGAATCCCAGACTTAATTAGATCATAACCCATTTTATTGGGACATATACAACTCAATACACCAAACTTCTTTCATTTTGTTCATCTTTTAATGGTCCATCAATATATATACAAACATATATACATAAGTGAGTCCAAAGCATGAAAGAACTAAAGATTAGAAAGTGATTCCTTTTAAGCTAACTCAAGACAAACTCAAAATACAAGAATCAACTCTCAAATCAAACAAATACAATGAATCTTGATGATCTCCATGGATATTTACTCAGGCAAAATATAAAGACTCCATTTTAAGGCTTAATGCTAAGCAATTGAAGAGAGTTTTAGAATAGTTTAAGTGCTTTACACATACCTTGAACTTTATTCTTTAAATCCCCTTCCAAAATCTTCAATCTCCAACTCTTGGTTGATCTCCTCTTCTTCCCTCTCTCTCTCTCTCTTTCTCTCTCTCTCTTTTCTCTTCTTCTCTCGTCTAGAAGCTCTCCATGAGATATTTTTAGGGCTTTATTGAGACTAAGTCATCTAAGGCTCATATAAGTGACCCTTATATCTATCAAGACTTGTGTCTTGAGACTAATTAAGTTTAATTAAGACTTGAGCCTAAATAATTCCAATTAATTTGTTACAAATCAAATTTTTACAAAACTTCATATAATGCTCTAAAAATCATATTAATCATAACCGTAAAGTCAGTTTCAGTTTACTGCGCCTCTAAGGTTTCCAATTTCCCATCCAAAAGTCACAATTTCAACAGATTTTCTCATAACCGACAAATAAAAATTTATAAACTAATAATTCACTCATTCAAAAATGGAATTTTACATCAAACATATAAACATACATATAGTCATACATATAATGAGGGAATTTGAGCACATGAGAGGGTCGGGTTATTACACTCTTCCCCCATTAAAGAAGTTTGGTCTTTCAAACTTATTTTACCTTAAGGTGAAAATAATTCTGGATACTGTTGTTTCATTTCCTCTTCTCTTTCCCAGGTGGCTTCCTTCCCATAATGTTCTTACCATTCAACTTACACCATTGGAATTGTATTGTTCTATAGTTGCTTCACTTGTCGATCCAAAATTTGAATTGATTTCTTCTCATAGAGCAAATTGTCATCCAAAGTAATCTGGTGGTAGTCTATAATCTGGGACAAATCTTGAAGGTAACCCCGTAACATTGATACATGAAACATGTTATGTATTTGTTCCATACTCGGTGGAAGGGCAACACGATAAGTTACTGGACCCACTCTTTCTAGAATTTGAAATAGGACAACATATTATTGGGGAGCTAATTTACCTTTCTTGCCGAATCTTGAGTGTCCTTTCATCGCGGTGACTTTCACAAAAACATACTTACCTACCTCAAATACCAAGTCCTTTCGTCGATGGTCCACAAAACTCTTTTGCTAGCTTTGGGCGATTTTCAATCTGTCCTGAATGATTCTGATTTTCTCTGTCGTCAATTGTACAATTTCAGGCCCAAATAATGACCTCTCACCAACTTCACTCCAACACACTAGGAAGCGACATTTCTTGTTGTATAAAGCTTCATAGGGTGCCATTCCTATGCTTGAGTGATAACTCTTGTTATATGCAAACTCCTCTAACGGTAGATAAATTTCCCAACTCCCTTGGAAGTCCAAGACACACATCCGAAGCATATATTCGAATTTTTGTATGGTTCTCTCGGATTGGCCATCAGTTTGGAGGTGGAAGGCCGTATTGAATTTCAACTCTGTTCCCATAGCATTATGTTACTCTGCCAAAATCTTGATACAAATTTTGGATCTCTATCAAACACAATTGAAATTGGAACACCATGTAACCGCACAATTTCATTCACATACACAATAGCAAGCTTATCTGTATTGTATTGAGTTTTCACAGGTAGGAAATGAGCTGATTTAGTTAATCTATCGACGATAACCCATATAGAATTCATACCTCGGGGAGTTCGGGGTAAGCCAACAATAAAATCCATCGTTAGGTGTTCCTACTTCCACTCCGGGATGGGGAGAGGTTGAAGTAAAACTGCAGGTCTTTGGTGCTCCGCTTTTACTTGCTGACATTGCAAACATTTTGAAACAAATTCTGCAATTTCTTTCTTCATACCAGGCCACCAAAAACTTTGTTTCAAATCCTGATATATTTTAGTAATACCGGGATGCAATGCAAATTTAGACTTATGTGCCTCCTCCCTAATCCTTTTCTTGATTTCTGGCACATTTGGGATACACAATCTGTCATTCAATTTCAACACTGAATTTTCAAAAGTGAACCCAGGCCTTGGCTTTGTTTTCATCTTATCACAAATTTTCCTCAGATATTCATCTTCTACTTGCATTTTCTTGATTTCTTCAATAAGTGCCGGTTGAGCTGACTTCGTTGCTAACATTGCATCTTGACCATGTAGCACAATTTCTATATCCATTCTTTCCAAATCAAGTAGCAACTCTTTTCACCCTGTGAGCAAACTTGCCAAAGTCCCCATACATTTTCAGCTAAGAGCATCCGCAACTGTGTTAGCTTTACCGGGGTGGTAATGGATTTGTAGATCATAATCCTTGATAAGTTCTAACCACTGTCTTTGTCACATATTTAACTCCTTTTGAGTAAAAAAGTACTTGAAGTTTTTATGATCAATATAAACCTCACACGTTCCGTTCAAATAATATGCCATATCTTCAAAGCAAAGACCACTGCGGCTAGCTCGAAGTCGAGTGTGGGGTAATTCTTTTCATGAGACTTGAGTTAACGAGAAGCATACGTAATAACCTTTCCATTCTGCATAAGTACCTAGCCCAATCCTTTATACGAAGCATCACTGTAAATCATAAATCCCTCGGTACTAGATGGTAAAGTGAAAGTTGGTGCTGTAGTTAACCTGGTCTTCAACTCCTGAAAGACAGATTCCCTTTGTTCTGACCACTCAAACGGAACACCATTCTGGGTCAATTGGGTAAGCGACACGGCAATTTTAGAAAAATCTTTAACAAATCTCCGATAGTACACGGCCAAACCCAAGAAACTACGCACCTCTGTCACGTTCGTAGGAGTTGGCCAATTCACAATAGTTTCGATCTTGTGTGGGTCAACAAAAACACCCTCCTTGTTTATGACATGCCCCAAAAACATTACTTCATATAACCAAAACTCACATTTCTTCAATTTTGCATATAGTTTCTTATCTCGAAGTGTCTGAAGAATTAATCGTAGATGATTCTTATGGGCTTCCGTGTTTTTTGAATAAATGAGGAAGTCATCAATAAACACAACTACAAATTCATCCAAGTATGGCTTAAAAACACGATTCATTAAATCCATGAAGGTCGCCGGTGCATTGGTAACCCTGAACGGCATAACCAAAAATTCATAACGCCCGTATCGGGTTTGGAAAACAGTTTTTTCAATATCTTCAGCTTTGACTTTCAATTGATGATACCCGGATCTCAAATCTATCTTTGAAAAGACTTGCGCACCTTGGAGTTGATCAAATAAATCATCAATTCTTGGTAAGGGATACTTCTCTTCACAATTACTTTATTGAGCTCCCGGTAGTCCACACATAACCGAAGGGTCCCATCTTTCTTCTTTACAAGAAGAATTGGTATGCTCTAAAGAGAGGTACTCAGGCGAATAAACCCTTTATCAAGTAGGTCTTGCAACTGTACCTTCAATTCTTTCATTTCAGCCGGTGACATTCTATAAGGAGTTTTCGAAATAGGTTAAGTTCCCGGCTCTACCTCAATTGTAAATTCAATTTCACGATCTACTAAGTCTCCTGGTAACTCCTCCAAAAAAACATCCAAGAATTCTAGGTCAATTAGGATTGTATCAACACACACTTCCGCTGGTTATCCATTCAAAATGCTACACAAATATCGCTGACAACCTTTTTGTAACAATTTACACGCTTTCATTACTGAAATCAAGTAAGGTGGTGGGACTACCCCATGCCCCGCAAAAGTAAATTCAGGTTATCCCGAGGGTCGAAAAACAACTTGCTTTAATAGACAATCAATAGTCACATTGTATTAACTTAGCCAATCCATCCCTAAAATTATATTAAAATAAGCCATGTCAAGAGGCAACAAATTGGCATATAACTGAACATCCCCAATCAAGATTTCACATGCAAGATAAATAGACGTACAAAACATAGAGTCCCCCAAGGGTGAAGACACACACAACACATAATTCAATGGTTCCAGGGGTCTATTCAAATGCTTAGCAAATGTTTTTGACACGAATGAATGGGTAGAACCCGAATCAAATAACACATGAGCAAAGTGACCATTGAGAGGAAAATGTACCTGACACCACAGCCTCAGTATTTTGCATGTCACCAGGAATAAGGGAAAACACTCTTCCTTATCTGGCATCCTTTAGTATTGGTGGGTTTTACAGCTGTCTTTGTGGTCGGAGCTGGAGTTGAGCCGGCTGAACTGGTAGTAGTTCTGTTCCCATTTTGTCGGTCTCTCTATGGGCAATCCCTTTCTAAGTGACCCATCTTTCCATACTTGAAACATGCCCCAGTTACCCTGTAACAAGTCCCACGGTGTCTCTTTCCACATTCCAGACAAACTGCTGCTGAGTCACATGTAGAGGCAGAAGTACAAGAGGTTCCCAAATTCGGTTTCTTATTCGGTGGTGCCATGGATCCCCTTGGTGCTTGAGTATTCTGCCTCTTCTCTTTCCACTCGAAAATCCAATTTTGAGTTACGATATTACCTTCAGCCATGATTGCTCTTTCCAACACATCTACATACATCGGCAATTTTAAAACATTAAACCAGTCGAGAATGGCATTCCGTAGCCCTCCTTCAAATTTTCTTGCTTTCTTGTAGTCCGTATCCACCAAATGTGGTGCGAAACGGGCTAATTCTGCAAATCGGGTTTCATACTTGGCAACGGCCTTGTTCCCTTGTCTCAAAGTTTCAAACTCCGTCACTTTCTTATCTCACATACACTGCAGGAAATACTTGTCTTAAAAAAGCTCCAAAAATCAAGCCCATGTCAACCCTTGATGTTCAATTCTCGTGAGCATCCACCATCTACGTGCTTCATCTTCAAGAGTGAAGGCGGCAAGTTGTACTTTCTGGCCTTCGGTGCATGGAAAGACCTTGAAAAACTTCTCTATGCCCAACACCCACGTCTCTGCTTTCATTGGATCAATTCCATCCTTAAACAAAGGCAGTTTCATCATCTTGAAGTCTTTCGTAAGTGTAATTGTTCGGTCCTCGGCTTGATGGTCTTGCACCACTGGTGATGGTACAGGCACTGGTGGCAGCAGTGGTTGTTGTTGCTGCTGCTTTTGTTGCCTCATAGTTTCTACCATTTGCATAATCATCATTTCCAACCTATCCAACCGTGTGGAGGTAGAATCCTTTGAATCATCCATCCTCGTCTGCACCATGATCTACATATCAACACATTATAATACACACAGGAAGATACACAAATATACATTGACCATATTCATTTCGTAATCGTAATCCAAGTCATTGATCATTGTATAACAAATCATGTTACTATGTTTCATATTGTATGCATAAAAACAATAACATGCATGTAACCTAAGTCTTTTCCAGACTCCTTAAAGCTCAAATGGACCAGTGTGTGAGATAGCCACTCGTGCTTTGATACCAACTATCACGACCCAAACCTGCCCCTAAAAGTTAAGTCATGACCAAACTGTACTTCGGCCTCAAAGTAACATTCCAACAAAATATTTTTATTCAATAACGGGGCCTAAGGCGAAAGCCAATCAATAACCGAACGTCCATTGAGCAGTGCTTAAATGCTAGGATTTTTGTACATCTTACCATATATAGAAAATTTACAAACACCGTTCATATACTAACAAGTCCATGTTATGCAAGTCTATACAAAAAGGTAACAACCCAAAATTTACATGTTGACAATGTATCGGTAACAAGTCATTAAGGACTTAAAAAAATACAACATAAACAGGAACCCCACAAAAACAAAAGGCTCCACTTTGGGAGGCTCGACAAAACAGGTCCAACAAAAGGCTCCTCGAGCTGACCTAAGGTTGTCCTCTGAGCTGATCACCTACATAAATATACAAATACACGGAGTGAGCAAGGCTCAGTGAATAATAGCAATGTAAGGAGGTTTATGTGAATGAGCATAAGTCTTGGAGATTATATAGATTTCATAATTTCAGTCCAAAACGACCTCGGGCCCAAATAAGACGGAACGGCCTTGGGCCCAACATAATACGGAACGACCTTGGGCCCAGTTTAATATAGAATGGCCTTGGGCCCTACATAATACTGAACGGCCTTGGGCCCAATTTATCAACAGTTGTTTGAAACATTTTAGGATAAATGGAATATCGGCATGTCTCCATCTCCCTCGGCCTTAAGCCATGAATCTTAAGTAATCCATATCTTTATAGGGTAGATGGAACATCGGCATGTCTCCATCTCCCTCGGCCTTAAGGCCATGAGTCACAAATAGCCCACATCATAACAGCCTTAGGCCCATCATTCATAACAAAACAAAACGACCTCAGGTCCATTTCATATGCCATTATTAAATCATTTCGATTATTGTAATCAAAACACAACTTATATACCATATGCCATTCACAAGTAAGAATATATAAATCATAAACACCATATGTAAATAAGACATATCGTTACACTACTATTACTCACTGTGATGTGGTTGAACAACGGTCCCTTCCTGTACGTGACCTACACACAACACGCAACTGGTGAGTAAGTCACTTTGCCTTGGCTTTTCTCTTTACTCATTTGTCTGATTCGTTGAATTCTAATTCATTTTTAAGTATTTCAGAAGGATCAAATATACACATTAATAAATTCAAAGGGTTAAAAAAAGTAAAAGAAGTTGATAGAAAATTTCCCTACTAGCCTCACATGCAGAAGTCCCCCACCGCACGTGCGGAGAGGTACTTGCTTTTATTTCAGAATGCTCCACTTGCGTCCGTTGTTTTCTGCATTTGCGGCTGTGAGCCCCGCACATGCGGCCATGAGCCCCGTGCATGCGGTTCTGGGCTTTGTTTGAGCAGTCCAAACATTCATCAAAATCAAACTTTCCAAATGCCTTTCTATGGTCTAACATAAGCAAATGCACTTAAACATCATGACATATGAATCTAATAAACATGAATCCCAAACTTAATTAAATCATAACCCATTTTATTGGGACATATACAACTCAATACACCATACTTCTTTCATTTTGTTCATCTTTTCATGGTCCATCAATATATATACAAACATATATACATATGTGAGTCCAAAGCATGAAAGAACTAAAGATTAGAAAGTGATTCCTTTTAAGCTAACTCAAGACAAACTCAAAATGCAAGAATCAACTCTCAAATCAAACAAATACAATGAATCTTGATGATCTCCATGGATATTTACTCAAGCAAGATATAAAGACTCCATTTTAAGGCTTAATGCTAAGTAATTGAAGATAGTTTTAGAATAGTTTAAGTGCTTTACACATACCTTGAACTTTATTCCTTAAATCCCCTTCCAAAATCTTCAATCTCCAACTCTTGGTTGATCTCCTCTTCCTCTCTCTCTCTCTTTTCTCTTCTTCTCTCCTCTAGAAGCTTTCCAGGAGATATTTTCAGGGCTTTGTTGAGACTAAGTCATCTAAGGCTCATATAAGTGACCCTTATATCTATCAAGACTTGAGTCTTGAGGCTAATTAAGTTTAATTAAGACTTGAGCCTATATAATTCCAATTAATTTGTTACGAATCAAATTTTTACAAAACTTCATACAATGCCCTAAAAATCATACTAATCATAACTGTAAAGTTAGTTTCGGTTTACTGCGCCTATAAGGTTTCCAATTTCCCGTCCAAAAGTCACAATTTCAACAGATTTTCTCATAACCGACAAATATAAATTTATAAACTAATAATTCACTCATTCAAACATGGAATCTCACATCAAACATATAAACACACATATAGCCATACATATAATGATGGAATTTGAGCACATGAGAGGGTCGGGTTATTACAGCAATAGTACATTTGTCACTTCCATATTCAAAGTGTTCCAAATTATAAAAGTAACGATACCGTTTCAAACTTTTAAGATTGGAATAGCACATTTGTCACTTTCATATTCAAACGTCACATGTATGTATTTCTTTTATTTTCTCACATAGCTACTATTTGTCCCCTGGATGGACATTAATTTATTTCCTATAAAAAACAAAAAAAAATTAAATATATATCTTTTTCGAAGATAACTAAGGAATGGGTGGTGTCGGTCCAAGGGTGATGCTGGCAGAAGGAGATGAGAGGACCAATGGTGGTGGTTGATGGCAGTGATTGTGAGGTGGAGCTAGGGTTAAGGTTAGGGTTAGAGTTAGAATCAGGGTTGTGATTAGAGAAGATTGGGATATTTTGGAAATATTTGAAAATTTATGGTGTGTATTGAGTGAAAAATAGAAAATCAAAATTAGGTGTAGTATGCAATGAGTAATTGGTGTGTACTGAAAGAGTTTGTGGTGCAAATAGAATTATCCTAAAATAATATTGTCAAATTCCAACATTTTTAAGTACAATAGCATTATTACTTTTTTCTTGGGCAAATAGGTGTCACTCTATGACAAAGTGTTTCAAATTATGAGAAGTTATTGATTAGTCCTGGATACCGGCATGTGGTGCCCCAACAATATTGTAATTGGTGAAAGATGTGCAATTTACGATTTTGTATTAGGTGATTGGAGAATATGAAGGGACATGATAATTTGTAATTGGTGAGGAAAACCGCCACATGACGCTCCTAGACCAAACAAAAATTTATTTTTTTTCAAATTACAAAAGAAGTGATACTGTTGGCACCATAAATAATAAGAATAATAATATTTATTTTTATTTTTTATTTTTTAATATGAGTAGGGCACATGGCATGCTCTTACACAGTTGGAGGTTGAAGGAAGTTGTGGAAATATAAAGTGTATGTAGGGAAGTTGATAGATGAAATAGAAGATCATGAAGTATAAAATGGAGGAGATGAAAGATCATCATGGCACATAAAATGGAGATATGTCAATACAAGAATCAAGATGGAAGATTATGGTAATTATTAGGAAGTTTTTTCTTTTAGTTTTTTCCTATAAATAGTCATTCATGGTTACATTTGGAATCCCCGACTAAATTCAGACTCTATGTCTTTATCAATTTCATTTATTTTTAAATTTCAGTACTTTCCTTTTATGCACTGCACTTACATTTCATAGGAGTAGATTAACTTTGTAATCCCAAAACTCGGTTGGTTTAAAGTTTTGAAATTGTCCTTATTAAAGGTAACATTTTGTAATTGTTTATTCAATTAATCAATTGCAATTTCTGCTCAGTCTCTCCCTCCCATTCTGTTACGAATTTGAGTTAAAATATTGATTCATCTTTTTCAACACAACACAATAAAATCTTTCTCATTGATGTCAAGAAAATCTTAACACAATCGCTTGATAAAATTGACATTTATTATCTGTAAAGACTTTTCAGATCCTGATTGACACGATTATATTTCTAGCTTTCGAAGTGTCAAAAATAATCAACATAGCATTTCAAACTTTTAAAATTGCAATAGTACATTTGTCACTTCTATATTCAAATTGTTTCAAATTATAAAAGTAGTGATACCATTTTAAACTGTTAAGAGTGCAATAGTACATTTGTCAATTCTATATTCAACTGTCACATGTATGTATTTTTTTATTTTCTCATTTAGCTACTACTTGTCCTTGCACGGCCATTTATTTATTTCCTATAAAATATATGTATCTTTTTCTAAAATGACCTCTTGGCCTATTCGATATTTTTATTTTTTGACTGGTCAATTTTGGTGGGGGAATTTTTGAGAGCCAGCAAAGTGGTCAGGAAGAAAACAATAATTTGCGTACAAAACAAATAAATAAATAAATAAAACTATATTTTTTGTCTTGCATCTTATGATTTTATTCCACATTTTGATATAAAATTATTGACAAGTAAATTATCAATAAATCCTAATAATTATATTTAATTCCCATCAAGTTATATTGAAAATAAGGGCTAGTAAAATCGTCATTATAAATAATTTTGTAACAATTTTTTTGTATTTGTCGCTAAAAATTAACAACTAGTAACTTTTCTTTGTCACAATTTTTATAAATTGTCGCTAAAACTTAGAATTAATAATGTGACGAATTTTTCAAACTATCGTTAAAAATTAGTGACATTTTTTTGTGGTATTTTTTTATATTGTTGCTAAAACTTATAATTAGTGACAATTTTTGTGACAATTTTTAAACTATCGCTGAAAATAAACAATTGGTGATGTTTTTCAATAGTATTTGATGAAAAATACCATTAATTATCATAGGACCTATTTGACAATAAGTTCACCTATTATAACCTATACGTAAGTCCCCCAAAATTGGTCCACTCTTAAACTCATTTTTATAAGGAGAGACTTACGTGTAAGTCTTAATAGGTAGACTTATTGTCCAATAGGTTCTATGAGAATTAATAGCATTTTTCATCAAACAGTATTAAGAAATTTCACTAATTGTAAATTTTCAGCGATAGTTTAAAAATTGTCACAAAAAATGTCACTAATTATAAGTTTTAGTGATAGTTTAAGAAAATCGTTACAAAAAAGTCACTAATTTTCAACTTTCAGTGCCAGTTTAATATGAGAAATTTATTAGAAAATCATCTTTCAAGTATTTGTATCTCAATTAGTTCATAAGATATTTTTATATTTCAATAAGTCCTATTATTTTGGATATTTGATCCACCAAATTCTAATTCTTATATTTAAGGTATTTTATGAACAATTTTACCTTGAAACTATTTTTTGAACCTTTAGTAACTTAGTGATGTGAACATTCATATTAAATAAATTTGACAGTGTGAATGTTTACGTCATGAAACATTCACACTGTCAATGTGAATATTAATGCACGCTTCA